TCAATGCTCTCTCAGGGGCGGATGAAGCCTGGGCGGGTAAGGGGTGCTGACTTCCTTAGAAGGAGGGACAGACATGGTCAGGGAGAGACAGAGGGGCCTCCTTACTCACCACTTGGCTTGGGGAGCTGGCTGGCTTCTGGCTCCTGCTCGAGTTCAGCAAATGTGCAGCTGAGGGCCTGGGGCAGAGCAGACACTAATTAGGTGTCTGTGGAGTGGAAGAATGGTTCTGGTCCTCAGCGACACTTTTGACAGTCAGTCACTTGCACACACGGCTCTCTCTCTCTTGCTCTAAGGACCAGCCCCGCCCGCCTCCCTCGCATTAATAGCTCTCTGAGGCCCGTTCTGACTCTGCAGTTCCCCTCCGTGGGGAACCAACACTTTTCTTCTGGATGCTTTAAAAAATAACCTGAAAAAAAAAAATAACCTGAAGGCTCACTCCACACCATGCCTGCCATTTCTCTCCATTTCGTACACTTGCTCCCCTGGCTTTGGAAATGATCCTAGAACCCTCTGGCTCTATCGTTGGGATAGGGACCTTGGCCCGGGGAGGGGGCTGAGGAGGGGCTGTGACTTCAGATTTCCAAAGTCTGGGGAGAGGCTGCTCTCTCTGGCGCCTCTCCTTGAGCCCCATTTTCTGGGCGATTCTTGCTACAACATTCAGTGGGAGTCTCCCACGAGCAGAAGCCCTTTAAGGCTTTGCTGGTTGCCTTGAGTCAAGGCAAGGCTGCAAAGGGGCTTTGAGGACCTGCCGTACGCTTGGGGATTATTGACAGTATTAGGATTGGGCAAGGAAGATGCCTGCTTGCTCAGAAGTTTCCGCCAGGTCTTGCTTTTCTGCTATTTGCTTGGTTCCAAGAAGAGTGGGATGCCTTCCCGTGGGGTCAAGCACGGTGCCATGTGAGGGGCAGACCTGAGCACGTGGCCGTGGCCACGGCTGGAACGGCCCCTCACGGGAGAGCGTGGGTTAAGCTGTGCAGCCCATCCAGAAGGCAGGGTTGGCGACCAGGCCACGCTGGCCGCCTGGGCCTCTGCTTGACAGCGCTGGTCACTTCCCTGTGCATCGGTGGGGAGGGTGGAATAAGCAGGCTTTTCTCTTCTTTCAAATCTGAGGAATGTATGAACGGCCAGTGTCCGACCAGCAAGGAGGGGCCACCAGCTGTGCCTCCGGCGGTCCCACCCACCTGCCCGGCCGCAGCCCTGCTCGCTGTCAAGTTCGTCAACAACTCAGACTGAGCCGCTCTGTCTGCGGGGCTCTGTGGGCGCACCGGGAGACCGAGCGGCGACGTGGGCAGCCGCTCTGAGGCAGGGTGGAGGGCTGGCTCCAGGGTGGCTGTTAATTTCCAGTGGGGAGCCAGGCCAGGTGGGTGGGAAAACACCAGGGCTTTGGGGGGGGGTCTGGGCGGCCGGGCTCCTTGTGGAGGAGACCGCTCACGGTGCTCACACGCACACGTACTGACACACACACGCTCCCCCCGAGCACACACTCATGGGCACACGTGTCCACACACATGCACACCACCCACACACATGCACCAGCGCACACACACACACACGAACACAGGCCCTGTGCCGCTCTGCTCTGCAGCAGGCAAACAGAAATGTCAAACAGCACCGCACCCTATTTATAGAAACGACAAAGCAAACAGAAATTAAGGAGATGAATGTCAACATGAAACCTCAGACTCTTCTCTCAACTCTCTCACTGTTGAAACTTCATCTTTTTCCTTCTCTGTTTCTCTCTCTGCTTTAAGGAGAGAGGCTGCTTCTTCCTCTCACTCTTCCTTTGCCTCTGGACGCTGCCCTGAATCCCTTATTCTTCTCTTTTATTACGTTTATTGAGGTGACATTGGTTAGTACAACTATGTAGGTTTCAAGTGCACACTTCTGCATCATCTGTATCTTGCACTGTGTGTGCACCGCCCAAAGCCTCCTTCTGGCATCATGTTCAATCCCCTTCACCCTTCCCTACCCTGCCCCCCACCCCCCACCCTCTGAGCCTCACTCCCTGCTGGGAGTGGAATGAGAGCTCTCACTCACCTCCTCTGGACGCAGCGGCATCTCACGGCCTCGGCAATCAGGCTGCTTGGGCTCAGGGTTTCAACTCTGACACTTCCTGGCTGTGCGTGCAGTTTGGGGTCATCACCGAACTCTGTGTGCCTCAGTTTCAGTGTCTGTAAAATGGGGATAAAGATAGCACTGAGCCCCGGGCCCGGCACATAGTGAGTGTCTGATCAATACTAATGGTTACTAGTTTCCTTCTGTTCCTGGCTGATCCGGAGAGACGAGGCTGCCCCCCCCCCCCCCCCCGGCTTTTTCCTCTTGCACTCAACGACCCAAGTGTTTGTGCTTTGCGGGTACAGGCCATCCTTCTTCTCCACTGAGTGTGAAGAGAAGGAGCGAGGAAGGTGAGGCCAGGATTCACACTTCCTTCCTCTGATCCACAGGCTTCGTCTACTTGCCTGCCTCTGTCTTCAGCCTTTGAGCTACACTTGGGATTGTCCCTCATTTGGCTCACAGGGTTCCTTAGCAACCCTCGCCACTATGGGATTAGGTACAAAAATACTTTTGGTTACAATCCCAAACATCTTCATTTATTAAAAGCCCTCACTTCAAACATAATTACTTCGATTTTCCCCTTATTTCAAAAGCAGTGCAAGTTTATTTTAAAGTCTTTAGAACACAGACAATTTTAAGCCCTCAGAGGCTAATGGCTGCAGAAATTAAAAAGGAAACTAGAATTTCAGTTTATATATATTTCCTGCATGGAATATATAGGGTGATGAATAAAATACTTTTTTTTCATAAAAATTGTGTTACGAGAAAATTCTGCAAGAAAAAGCCAATAAGATTTCAAGGTAGAAAAAGGAAAAATGTTAACTTTTCTGACTTACAGGGAAGAGTTTGTGCATGTAGTTTTAAAAATAGCTGATGGCCGGTATTAGATTACCATGGCTTTTCGATTCCATGGGAAACAATTTAAAGAGTGATGTGACAGTTTTATATATATCTAAGCACACACACACACACACACATACACACATATATAATGTCAGTGTTTACAGTGCAGTGGGAATTGTGTCTTTGGTACTATTTAAACTTATGTAAAATTTTGGATGTCTACCAAACACAGCAAGGGCCTTCCTAGGCATTGGACTTCCCTCAGGGGCGACATGAGGAGTCTTTGGGCCCCTGGGCCCAAAGGAGCCAGCGCCCTGGGGCCCCTCACAGAGGTGATTAAAACGGGTTTGTACTGGAGGAGGGACTTAGCCGGACTGTGCAAACCGTTAGGAAGGTTGAGATGAACATGCTTAAAAGGACAAGGGTCTAACCTACAGGATTCTCAACGGCAGGCCTGGCTGTGCCCCTCTCGACTCTGTGGGCGCCCTGGGGTCCCTGTGCTCTGTTTTCCCAGCATCCAGTTCTTCCACCCTCCACGCCAACCAGGTGTCATTTCCCTTCTGACACTCACTGTCCGGAGTCGGCACGGACCCCACAGGGAAGGGCTCAGTCTCACACAATGGCCCCTACTGGAGGCACCAGGGTCCTCACGTTACCTACGTTCTGCCCGGCCAACTACCAGTTTGGGGGTTTCCATGACCCCACCCTTCTCAGGTTTGATAATTCACCAGAATGACTCACAGAACTCAGGAAGTGCTGTGCTTACAACTCCAGTGTTATTTACTATAGAGACTACAGCTCAGGACCAGCCAGAGGGAAGAGCTGCATAGGTCATGGCCGGGGGCACACAGAGCTTCCATGTCCCCTCTGGGTGCCACCCTCCTGGCACACCCATGTGTTCATCAGCCTGAAAACTGCCCCAGCCTTGTGCTTCGGAGTTTCTATCAAAATAGGCGTGGTTTGTGACATTGTTGGCCATCAGCGGCTGAGCTCCATCTCTGGAGCCCCTCTCCAGAGGTCGGGGCTGTGCAGGTTCCGGGGGGGGGCAGTCTGTTGGCATCTAGCTCCCATCCTGAACCCACCTAGGGGCTTGCCAAGGGTCACCTCATTAGCATGAACTCAGGTATGGTCAGAAGGGGCTCCTGATGAATGAGGACAGTCCCGTCACTCAGAAAATCTCAAGGGTTTTAGGATCTCTGTGCCAGCAACTCGGGACAAAGACCAGACATCTATATTTTATGATGCCGCACTGAGATTCTAAGAAATTGTTTATCATTCTCCATCTGGAAAGCTGGAGGGCTGGCTTCAGAGAGCAGGGCCAGTGTGGTCCAGCTTTTTCCAGTCTCAGAGGAGCAGCAGTTGGGAAGGGAACCCAGGGCTCTCGGCAGAGGTTTCAGTTGCTCGTGGGACCCGCCAGCCCACCAGCTTCACAGAATGCTAGCTGCTGGGCTGGGAGCCTGGAGCTGGAGGCCGGAGGGGAGGCAGGAGTCCAGAATTGGGTTAAACAGAGTTCTTGCTGCTTTGGAGCCAGCATTCCGTGATGAGATACACAAACTCTTGGTCTGTCCAAGCTTTTCCTGGAGAGAGCCCCCCTTCTACCCTTTCCCCTGCCTTCCCTCTGTCTCTTAGAATTGCGTCTCACTGACAGAACGTGCTTCTGGTAGAAGGGGACCTTGCTGTCCACGCTAGCAGCGGTTGGGGGTAGGGTCCCCAGTGTGGCAGCTGCTTCTCTTTCCTGTGCACCCCGCCCCCTGCCCCCTATGATTCCCACCTCCCCCCACCTATGATCCAGCTGATCCACTTAGTCTCTTGATTTCTCATTAGCAGGAATGAGTCCATGTTTAGGAGTGATGAATGGATGGAAAAATGTCACCAATCACCCATGTCAGATGTCGCCAAAGTTTAATTAAGACCAGACAGTTTCAGCTCAGAGACTGTGGAGGGGTGTAGGAAGACTACTTAGTCACGAGTGCGGACTCAGGGTCCCAGGCAAGCCCCTCTCACCTCCGTGCAAGGAGTCCGCTCTATAATGGAGGGGAGGCAAGATCCATAAAATGCAGTTTCTGCCTTATGGAAGTTATAACTAATGATTTAAAAAACTTATTGCTTCTCGGCCTTTTGGTTAAGGTCAACTGTAGTAGCTGTTCTTACCAGTTTAGTATCTGATCCATCTTCTGCCAAGGGCATTATATTAAATGGATTTTTGGAGCTGTAAGATGGAATAGGGGCTTGCTCTGTGTATTCTACACATCGACCTGGTATTACAGTACTTCTGGGAATGTGCACCAAACAAGCAAACAAACAAGAATTAAAAACTTGTGCATGAGAAGAAATCAGGGGAGACATAACAACTGTATTGTCACCCTTGTCCCTTCACCTATCCAGACCCCTGCACACCTGTGTCTGCACCTCACAGCATCTTCTCTCTACACTTGTGTCGCTGTATCACTGCTCTCTCAGTGTGCAGGGGATTTTGGACTCCACACCTGGCTGCTCAGGCCTTGCCGCCTCTCTGTTAACAGCGGCTGGGAGTCTGTCAGCTGGGTTCAGGAAGGGGGAAGGCCAGGATTTTGGGGGAGATTTCGATGGGGAGTTAGTTGAGGGTGGGCACGAGGAGGGAGGCTGCTGGGAAGCTGCAGGGAGGACCGGAGGAGAAGGATTGCTGAGGGCTGAGTGCTGGTTTGGCTTGTGAATTGGCTCCCCTTCCATGTTCTAGAAGAGATGCTGGCAAAGACTGGCATTACTCTGAATTATTCGTGATCTCCAGGGCGCACTTCCTGGACTGGTGACGTCACAGGGACACCGCACCGTGGGGTGCCTGGTTTGCACTTGGGTTATATGGGGTTTTTTTAGTTGAAGGAGTGAACGCCTGTAGGGGTGTAAACGATAAAATACTGAACGTTTGTTATTGCTAAGGCTACAATACAAACAGTAACTCCCAATTTAAACTGAGGCCAGCTAGGCTGTTTGAAAATATCTTCAAGCTAAATTGTCAAATTAATCATGCTCTTCTTTTTTTTGTAATTGTTTTTTTTTAAAGATTTTATTTATTTATTTATTTTAGAAAGAAATTGACATGTGAGAGAAACAGTGAGCCGGGGCCTCCTGCAGCCCCCTACCCGGGACCTGGCCCACAACTCAGGCATGTGTCCTGGCCGGGAATCCAACCGGTGGCCTTTGGGTCGGTGGGATGATGTCTAATCCACTGAGCCACACTGGTCAGGGCCAGTCATGTTATTCTTCTACTTCAGGCCTTTCAGTGGCCTTTCCTTGCACCGGAAGTGAAACCCCAGTTCCTGACTGTGCCTGCAGGGTAAGCCCCTGCCCACCGCTCTCCCAGGCTGTCTCAGGCCTGTTCACTCACTGTGTTCTGGCCACTCTGGCCACTCTTTCCAGAGCAATGAGCACTCAGCTGTCCCCGGGCCCCGCACAAACTGTCAGCCTCTCCCTCTCCACCGTTCCCTGCTTCTGTGTGGTGGGTCCCCCTCAGCCTCCAAGTCCTGGCTGAACTCTCACCTCCTCAAAGGCCTTCTCTGAGCTAAAGTTGGCTACCCCGTTATCACCTCTCACAGTGCAGCAGTTTGATTGGCGGTCCCCAAAAGATATGTCTTGAAACCCGGGAGTGTGACCTTATTTTGAAAAGGGGTCTTGCAGATTCAGGTTAAGCTCTCCAAATGAGGTCATCCTGGGTTATCTGGTTGGACCCTAAATCCAATGACAAATGTCTGTGTAAGAAACAGAGCAGACACACATGGGGAGAAGGCTACCTGAAGGTGGAGGCAGTCACAAGCCCGGGAACACCTGGGGCCACAGAGGTCGGGAGGGAGAAGGGTTTTCTCCTAGAGCCTCAGGAGAGGCGAGGCTCCGCCCACTCTTGATTTTGAACATTCAGTGTCCAGAACTGTGAGAAAATAAATCTCTGTTGTTTAAGCCACCGATTCGTTACAGCAGCTGCCGGAAACTCATACACGCAGCATCCTGTCTTTTCTCTTCCTATCAGTTACGATGACTTACTTCCCTATCACGGAGGGGGTAGCCTGTTTATTTCTGGCTCCTGACCCCCCAACACTGCACAAAAGGCCAGGTTTGAGACCTCGCTGTTCTCCAGTGTACCCACAGTGCTCCGCACAGCGTCTGACACAGCAGAGGCTGAGTAGACAGAGAGCAGATCTAAATGAATGGCATGTCTCCTTAGCTAGAATCGTGGACGGAGGCACCGCTGCTGGAGAGCCTCTGGTTCAATGGGGGGCAGAGCATGCTTCTCCGGTAGGTGCTTGACGTCACCTGAAGATGTCAGGTGGCAGAGCTGCCCCTCTTTCTCAGGGGTGCAACCACTCTCTCTGCAGTGGATCCCCTGCTGTTCGTGTTTCTTGCAAATCCTTTCTTTATGGAAAGGGAGACATTTGGCTTCCTATAGGTCCTTGTCCGAATGACCTCCGACACCAATGTGAGTCGGGGCATTCCGCTTGGAGAGGATGTGCAGCACCAGGCCGGGCCCAGCAGGTCTCCGTGCCAAAGAAAACACATTCTTTGAAGAGAAGGGTAATTGCTGAAGGCCTTGTCCCATGTCAGGGTGGAGGAGACGGACCATTTGAACTGGTTTAGTATTCACGATAATGTATGGTTCGGGACTCAATGAAAGGGTATAATTCTATTGAGGGATTCCACTGAGCTCATAACCCACGGAGCGCGGCTTGTCAGCAGAATGCAGAGATTGGGTTACCACGGGGCTCGTCCCGGTCCCACTCGGGCTGCCCATGACTCTGGGAAGGGTCATCACAGGGCTGCTCGGACTGTGTACCTGGAAAAGTCGGTGCCCGAATATGGTAGTTAAACTGCGTGAGTGTGTCTGTGGTCCCCTGTATACCAAGGGTCACAGTGGAGCAAACGGCTTCACTGCGTGGCATTAATGATATTTATGAAGCAAATGCTCTCTAAGGATGCCGTAAATAAACAAGTGGGTGAAACCACCTTTACCTTTACTCAGGAATCCTGGCCAGCAGTTGTAGAAAGTGGCATGGTGAGAGACGAGGGAGGAGTGCAGACTGTGGTCAGCTGGAAAGCGAATGTCTTGCTTATATTCAGTGTTTGCCAAACAAAACCTTTCTGCAGGCCAGTGTGAGATTTGGGTTTACATGCTTATCTTTCCACTAGATAAGGGGTTCAAAACCTGCAGCCCTTGGGTCAGATCTGGTCCTCCACCTGTTCTTGTAAATAAAGTTTTATTGGAACACGGCCATGTGCATTTGTTTATGTTCTTTCTACTGCTGCTTGGGAGCCACAAAGGCAGAGTCGTTGTGCAAGAACAGACGTCCTTTCAAGCCCAAACTATTTATCATTTCACCTTTTACAGAACAGGTTTGCCAACCTTTGCATTGGACCATGAGCATCTAGAGGGCAACTTGGCACTCATTTTAAACTTAGTAATTATTTGCTTTGAGAAAGAGATTATATATTGTCTATGGTAGGTACTGTGGGTTATTTACCCAATGGCCATTCCCCTTCTTTCTTTTTTTAAAAATCCTCACCCAAGGATATGTTCATTGATTTTAAAGAGAGAGGAAGGGAGAAAGAGACAGAGAGAGAGAGAAACATTGATGTGACAGACCTATCAGTTACCTCTCACGTGCAGCTTGACCGGGGATTGAATTTACAACCTCTCAGTGTATGGGATGATTCTCTAACCAACCAAGCCACCAGGGTTCCTCTTCTTTCTTGCTGATAGGGGCAGCCATGGGCTTCAGAGGAAGGAGATGGGCTCCTTCCTTGATGGTGCATTTTGATCAGATCGAGCCGTCCTTGGCTCTTCCCCTGCTCCCACTAGTCCTGTGCCCGACGCACAGGTGTGTTGGCCAGTGAGGGGTGGGGCTGTTGGTTAAGAAGCCTGCACCCTAAAACAACGGAAGAGCGTATGTTGCTGCACCTGCCAGCTCTTTCTCTGGGGGTTTCAACTTTCCTGCTTGTTTACTGGGAAGGTCTTCACAGACTTTATGAAAATGTTCTTTGATGTTGTTTTTATTTTTACATTTAGTTTATTACTCTTTTAGGAATTGTTTTTATATGGTAAGAGGTAACGCTTCAATTTTGTTTTTCTTGTAGATGGAAAAATAATTTTTTTGAGTGCACGATGGTGAATAACATCCAATATAATTATAGGATTTTCATAAAGATAAATGTTGTTTTCTACACTGGAAACTAAAGACAAGATCGATTTTTTTGTAGGTACCTTTTAAGGAAATGGTTAACCTAATTGGTTTTTAGGTGTGATGCAAGTAGAGTGTTTTCTAATGCCCAAACAAGGAACTTAAAGTAACAGGAGTTACCAATTTTAAGACGAACCATATCATGTACAGGAAATACCAGAAGAGAGGCTGGGTTATTCCCTGGTGTTGATTAGGAATGTTGAATGCAAGAAGAGTAAACATTTATCAGCATCTTGCACTGACTTGAAGGAAAGCAGTTTGATTTTGAACCACAGAATCTGCTTCCAACAGGGGCTGAAGTTTCTTGTTGAATCTAAAGCAAACATGCACACAAAACCCCTCGGCCCAAGCCTGATTCACTAAAAGATATCAGCAGAGCACGTACTAGAAGACATTCACAATGCACATGACAAAGGAGTAACATCAGGAGTATAAAAAGAACATGTATGAATTAATAAGGAAATAGAAAAGTGGGCGAAGCCACGAACAGCTGTCACTCGGCAGAGACAGACCCCTCCGTGAGTCCTGGCTCCTCTCAGGAGGGCCAGGGGTGTGCGGGCCAGGCGAGGCCTCCGGGAGGTTACCCTTCGCCCCGTTTCTCTGGGAAAATCGGACCACGCACTTCACCAAGTTGAAGCTGTAGTTGCAGCTGCGCCCCAGCTCTTGGAACATGCGAAGCGAGAGTCGAATGTTGATTATTTTCGTGTCAGTTTTTTTAAAAAATGAAATCATACGAGATAGCACTAGATACATCCAGAAGTCTTATCATAAAGAGATAATGATGTTGACAAAAATGTCTGAGGACACCACATTCTGATGTCCAGCTCATTCTTTTTTGGAAACTCTCACTGGAGCACCGTCCCGGCCGACTGTTCCTTTGCTGCGATGAGCTGGCGGACTTGAGCCAGGCTCTCTTTGCCAGGCACCCTGCATGTGATTTGAGGAGCTCTCCCGTCAGTGTCCTGGAATGCATGGCTTCTTGCCTCTTCAGGTCACAGATGGCATCGGTCTGCAGTCTGTTTCCAGTGAAGGGACATTGCATCGGAGGGACCTCTGAGCACCCCCAGGAGCCTGACAGAGAATGTGGC